ACATAGGAATTGCCAGGTTTCAAAAACAGAAGCTAAAAACTTGCAATTCAATTATAAAAATTAAATTAAATTAAAGTACCTAGTTCTGTTTCATCCTCAGGCGAATTTTGGAATAACTAATTTTGAAATTTACAGAGCTTTATAAGCATATACATTTGTAATTATTAGTTTCTATGGATATGGAGAAAACCAATCATTTTAATAAAATTATTATTTTGAATTTTATTAAGATGATTGGTTTTCTCCATTTCCATAGAAACTAATAATTACGAATGTATATGCTTATATAGCTCTGTGAATTTCAAAATTTGCTTGAGGATGAAACAGAACAAGGTATTTTAATTTAATTTAATTTCTATAATTGAATTGTAAGCTTTTAGCTTCAGTTTTTGAAACATGGAAATTCCTATATTGCAATGGAATCATATTTTCATACATATATAATGTATGTATGTATGTATGTATGTATGTATGTATACACACACACACTACGGGGAAAACTTGCACCAATTATAAGTGCATATAGAAAAGAAAAATGGAGAAGTATAAGCAGTCAATTACTGATACGCCCTGATGAGTGGATGGATGAGACTGTCTACGAAACTCTAAGGTTGGGATGCTGAAGGTAATATAAATCAGCTAAGTGACAAACTTTTTACTTTTATGTGTGTGTACGCAACTTATTCCCTTGATAAAACAATTATTAGTCTGAATAAGTTCTTTCTAGAACTGAATTTTTTTTTTTTTTTATGCTCATTTTATCATTCAGTTACCTACTATTAGTCTGGTATGTAGGTTTATATGATATCTTCCGTAAATATTCTTGCAAGACTAAATGAGAGTACATAAATTGTATGGTTTAATCTGAACTTGGATATTAGAGTGATGTACATAACGGATAGTGGCCCAGAATGAGAAATTGTAGAGGTGAGTTCAAATTCCAGTCAGGTTCATTACATTCACTAACATACAACTACCTTTGGGAACCGTATGAATCCATTCCCCTAAGCTATAGGTTAAAAAGTAGGATTTGTATGTGGAAAAATCATTACTATTCTTAGTATTTTTATAATGCAATATTCTCATAAAAATAATTATTCTTACAATCCAAAATACGTTTCAGCCTTAAATTAACCAAAAAGGGGTTGATAAGTCATAACAAAAACAAATTGATCAGTAATCTGGACTCATGAGTAAAATAATTGATGCATAGAATGTGAAAGGTTGGCCACCATTAAGCTAAAACATTGATATTGTTTGTTTTTGTTTTTTTTAATGATAATTCAAGAATAGTCTTTCTGATTTCCTAAAAGCTAAGAAGTTATTAAAAATTAATAATCAAGATTTGGTTTTGACTCCGCACTCATATCCTAATTGTGTTGCCCAGTTTGATATCTCAGAAAGTACCACAGCCAGAAAAGGATTAGAAAACAAGAGATTAAGATGAATGTCTAAATTGATCTATTTTGTTTGTTGAAAGCAAATATAAAAACTGTTCTGTCAATTTTTGTGAAAAAGCAAGGAAGCTTAAAAGTTATTTACATGGACATGCTTGTATAATCACACTTTTATATTTCTATTAATAGTAACAATGTTTATGATTTATATTTTGAATAGACAATGTTGATTGGTTTAGAAGATTCTCACACCTACTGCTTTTTTCCTTTATAATGTCTGTGTAAATATTAAATAGCATCCAATACACTGGTGTTATAAACAGAATTTCAAACACTGACAAAGTCTTCTTGGAAAGCAAACATTTTTTGCATCATCGATGTACACACACACACACACACATATATATAATGTGTATACATGTATTCACTATATTATACATGAAATATTCCTAACAATATCTCCTAATTCTTAACTGTGTGTGAGCTTAATATAGTACAGACTTTTCCTGATAACTTTTGTGAGCCAAGGAATAAAGGAAGATTATTATTTTGAAGGTGAAAGGGTAAGTAATATTTTTTCATGGTCAAATTTCCCAAACATTTGGGTTGCACTCTTATTATTATACACTATATTTGATGAGTTTTTCTAATTAAAATATTTAAAAAGTAGCAAAATATTACATAATCTCTCATGTCTTTGTATGATGGATGGGAAGTCCATTATTGTTTTTCAGTTAGTCAGGAGGAGAAGTTGTGTAAAAAATGATCCTGCAAATTGTATTTATTATAGACTGCCAAATATTAAACATGGCAAGTGTTATAAGTTATCTTTTGATAAATTTCAAAATCTTTTTCTCTGTAAAATTTTTACATATTTATTTTAAGTAACTTTGAAGTATGAAAAAGTTTAAGAACTGCTTTTGCCTAAAGCCAAAACTGACCAATTTGTTTTTTTATTTGCATCAAATTATTAATAAAAAAATGTTATGTTGGCAATCTATATTCATAGTCATTAGCAGTTACATGTCTCATTCTTTGTTATTTAGTAAGCTTAGCTTAGTTTGACACAAGGCCACAAGAAGTATGGGGTAAGAGTAAAGGACAAACTCACTACTCTGTAGTAACTGTCAAATTGAATGTTGCTAACTGTGATGGCATACTGAAGACTCCATGCTTTGTTTTTTGTTGACAACTTGTCATCATTGCAGTCACAAGCAGGTCCTTCCTTCTTTTTTGTTAAAAACTGTAATCATTAGTATATCCTTGTTTTGTTTCTTATTGACAACTTAGTTGTCAATAAGAAACAATGACTACAGACTGCCAAACAAATAAAGGACCAGTCTGTAGTCATTGCAGTCACTAGCATGTCCTTGCTTTCTTTCTTGACAACCCATGGTCATTCACTGTTACTTTGACTATTACATTATTATTCACATATTTCATTTTTTTCTTCTATGATTTCAATAAGATTTTTTTAACAAACAGTAAATGGAAAGGAACAGTTAAAGAATAAAGTTTGAATTGCCAGATTTGTATTTTCTTTGTTAGATTTCAGACTAAAACAGGTTATTAAGCTATCAGCATTTTTTTTTAACATTCTAATGTTAGAATGTTAAAAAACAAAGTGGTCATTGATTTTAAACTTTAAAGCAATTATTGACTTAAAAATTCAAAGAATTCTAAATTTATAAATCATGTAACTAATTCAAATAATAGCAAACATTTAAAAAAAAAAAAAAAAAATTAAAAAAAGCAACTCTTTAATCATTTCAATTTAGTGGTGGCCTAATGGATATGTCATTTGCCTGCTTATAACCAGGCTGTAGGTTTTGAATACTCATGAATACTTCCATGGATAAAGCTAGTATGAATTATATGTGAATTTCTGCTCAATTGAAAACCTTAAGTCAAATCCACTATATAAAAAAAAAATTATTGAATTATAAATCCCTTAAGTATTTGCTTTGAGTGTAGTGTGACGGTTATCTGCATGCTGTGTTCAAATTCAGAGTGAGTCTGTTTTGTTCACTTTGCATCAGTGCCCTTTGAAAAAGGCAGAAATCCATTTTTTTCCAACTCTTTTGCCTTGGGTGGCTGCCAGTAGAAGAGCAACTCTGAATTCTAAACCAGCTTGAAAACGGATGAGCTCTGTCAAGGTATCTTGTGATACATCCTCTACTGCAAAATATGGGGTGCTCCTACAACTTCACTGTTATGGTATTTATGATTGTGAAGTATTAGCTAATCTTAGGTTTGTCTGGAACATGTTTACTAATGTGGAGGCATCCAAATGGCCTATGTGGCTGACTTGTTGACTACTGCTCTACAACGATTGCTGAGTTTACATCCCTTATTGTAAAGTGTAATTTTTTTTTTTTTTTTTTCTAATAATATTATTTTTAAGAAGAAAATTTAATATTTGTTAAGAAATGGAAAAATCTATTTTCTTTTTCCTGACTAATGTTGATTTTTTTTTTTTTTTCGGATTAGATTGTTTAAAATAAATTATGTTTGGTATTGGATAAATCTCTTTTAAGATCATATTGGATTCTTTCTGACTCACCTGTAAAAAATACACAGGTTACCCAATTTTTGCTCACCAGGTATCTAGCAACTAATATTTTTACAGCATTTTTCTTGTACACTAAAAAGTTTTATTTGTAAAAATAGTCAAAATGAAGGCTTTTTTTTAAAAAGTTAAACTGATAGAAAATTAAAACTTTGGATGTTTTCTCTCTCTCCCTCACACACACACACACACACACACACACACACGAATAAATTCTTAGTAAGAATAACTAACACTGACAAAAATGTTTTTAAATATAAAAATAACGATTGTTGAAATGACCAAAAATAAAAGTAGCAAGACATTTTTTAACAAAAAACAAAACAAAACAAAAAAACGTAAGTCTTCATTGGAAACAAAAATAAGTTTTCGGTGCTAATAAAAATAAATTTCAAAGAAATATTTTCAATTTTCATTTGGTACATAAAAGACATTTTTTAAGGAAAAAAACAAATGACCCTGACATCGGCATATTTTATTTTTTGTTGCTTTGTTACAATTAGATTGAGATCAAAATAATCACAGCTATAAATAAAATCCGTATTGAATTAATTTTATCGATAATTTCGATAAGAAAAGTCAACCTTTTAAAAAATGAGGCAAAAAATATTCTGTCCAATTTTTAACGATTGCATCAAAAAAGGTCAAAAATGGGCGATGACGACACATGCAGGTATTTGTGCAGCAGAAAAAATAGTTCTCTCTTTCTAATTCAGCTTTTAGCTTTGTGGTTCAATAAATTATCTAATATTTGTTTAGAATATTTTTGGTTACTTCTTTTGAATTCTTTTTAACATGGTTTTAGGGTGTTAAGGAGCTTTTGATGTTTTGGGGTCTGGCTGCAGGTGAGATGAATTGGTGTGTTCATACGCCCAAATTTTCTTTTTGGTCTGTTAAGCTTGTTTCTTCCCTTTTCGATGTCGGCAGGCAGAGAAGACGGAGGAATGGTCTTGGCAGAACAATATTAACATGCAGCAATAAAATAAAAGGCACCATCAAGACTTTTACTGGAGCCAAGGCTTCGCAGAGCTTCTATGCGAATCGCCAGAGTTCTGGTTAGGTAAGTCAATGTAAAAATTAAAAAATAATCTTTCTTTATTAACAACTGTTGCATGTTTCTTCGTTCGTAGCTGTCGCCATAAGTAAACTATTTTTTTTTTTAACATTGTAGCATAGAACTAAAATTGCAATCGAAATCGTTTCGAATTTTGTACCATTCTCCAAATTCTTTCTTTAAAAGTTTATTCTGTTCTTCTGGCTGAGTCTGAAATTGCTTTGTTTTGGAGAGATCGATCGACATTTTTTTTTTTTTTTATGCAATCGCTGTTATTTGTGGGTAAAACAAACACCAAAAAAAGATGGAATGATATTTGTTTATAACTTAAAGAATTTATTTAACGGAAACATGAATTAAATATTCATTTTTCCTGAATCTTAAAAATATTTTAATCTAATCATAATGGCTGTTATTTTGTGCAAACAGTAAGACAAAAAAAAATGTTTTTTTTTTTTTTTTATTGAAAATGTCAGATGTTTGCAATATAATCTTTTCTGTGATTCATAAAAAATACATTTTTTTTAAACAGTTCCTTGTTTTTACTGCAAAAAAATAGTTTGACTTTTTTATGAACTACAACTTTTTTTTTTGGTTAAATTTCTTCTGTTATTTTAATTTTTTTATACTTGGATGCTTTTCAAATAGATATTTCAAAATATTTTTTGATGATTCAAGTGAATACTTAAAAATGTATTATTGTTTTACAAGTAAAGAAAATGAACGTTAAGACTTTTTCACTAACTCCAAACTAAAAGTAAAGTGAGACAGTGAGTAAAAACAAACATTAACTTTGTTTTCAATATTAAAAAGTACTTTAAAAAAGTTCATAGAACTTCATAGGCAACTTTTATTTTTCAGTTTGTATCTTACATACATAAGTTATCAGTAGTGAAATTACTCTTGCAAGTAGGAGAGATCATAGGCATATTTACGAAAAATGCGATTAAGTTTCGTATTTTGACAAAAAAAAGTATTGCGTAAGTTGCTATTTTTACCAGCCTTTGTTGTCAATTTTTTTATACCAAGATTGAGCCATAAACAGAAACTAAACATTTTTAAACAAATGAAAATATTGTATTTTTATTAAATTTAAATATACTTTTTTTTATAAATTAATTTAAAATATTTCGCTTAAAAATAAAATATTTTTTAAAATGGATGTCTTTTAAATAATTTTTTTTTATTTTTTAAAACTGGAGAACTAATGTACCAATTTTAAGAAAGTTGGTTATAAAAAATAATTGCAGGCAAATCCTCTCGTTCAATTCTCCTTAAAAGTACAAAAAATATTAATATGCAAAAAAGAAAGGTTAAAAACACAAAAATTTAAAATATTTTATCCTATTTTTAGTGAGTCAGTGATGTTTTAAAATAAAAATATACTCAAAAACTTGATTTCAGTTTGAACTTAAAACTAGTAAAAAGTAAACAAAATTCTAACCTTGGATTTGATAAAGTAAAGTGTTACTGTTCAGTTAAAACTGTAAATTAAATACTAAACTTAGTTTTAAAAATGCTTCAATCAATTTGTCGAATGTCAAAATTTGACATTTCAAACAAACATACATTGTGGGTGGCGGAAGACTGAACAGTAAATTATTAATTAAAAATGCTGTTCGTAAACATAAAAATAATTTATTGTATGAAGAAAAAAAGTGAGATAATAAAAAAAAAAAAATAATTGAACATTTCTTTTTAAATAACATCAAGCGGGATTCGAACCAGTGATGCACATACCAAACCGGAAATTTGCAGCTGTTTTTTTTTTTTCAGTTGTGCTTGCGGGTGTTTGTCCCTGACTGGGGATTTTTATGGCTGATGTTTAAAGGAAAGCCGTTGGATGGCGCCTATCAGAGAAATACTTTATTTGCTAGGGGGAGGGGAATGAATTAATTTTTTTTTTTTTACCATTTGTGTGAAAATAAAAATTCGTTCCTCTCGTCCGCCCCAAACAAATTTCACTTCTCTCCCCCCAAAAAAACTGTTGCCAGGTGACAATTTATGACATGTCAACTGGAAGCTATGTGTGTGAAAAGTGTGTAATATTATTTATATGTTATATGCGCGCTAGTTATTAGAAAGCGCTAAATATCAAAGATAGAGCTATTTGGTTGGATTGATGTGAGTTTGTGACCCTGGGTTTCACGCTCTTGCGATCGTCAGCGTGAAACCCAGGGTCACAAACTCACATCAATCAATCTAAAAAATATATATATATATATATATATATATATATATATATATATATATATATATATATATATATATATATATGCCAATAGAAATATATAAAATCTCTTGGGTTGAATTTTTTTATTTTAGTAACCAACTTAAAATTCAGTAAGTCAATCTTGGGAATTATGTGTGTGTGATGGTGAAAAAGTTTTCGGATCGACCCACTTTCCAAAAACATCAGAAATCAGTGACTTTTCTTGAGTGAGACGAAAAGCTTTTCAGCACGTCACATCGCAAATTTATTATTATTTTTATTTTATTTCTATATACTATGAGCTCATATTATCCAAGAGAACCATCATTTCTGACCAATTTTGTTTTGATGATGAATTTGTCGTTGTCGAATAATAATGGATTAGCTATTATTAAATTTCTTTTTAAAAAAATCAGCTGCAGTACTTCACCCTTTCTGAAACAAAACATTGTTCTTCTCTTCTTTCATTCGTTAGCCTTTTTCTTTCATTTATTTTATTTTTTTATGTATCCCTTTTTCCCCTCTCATATGAAATTGAGTTTTTTTTTTTTTTTTAAGACTAAAAAAAATTGTTAGGGTGGTGCACGTTCTATCTTATTGTTTATTGCTAACGTTTCTTTCGGCAGAGTTGTAAAAATTCCTCTTTTTATCAGAAAAAATTCTGTTGTTGCAATAAGCAGCAAAATAACATTTACATTCATTACAATTTTTACTTTACTTATTTGAATTGACAATTGTTGTTTAGAATGATGTTCTTAATAATGGCTAGCGAGCTTGTTTTATTTTTTCTACTGTTGTCTTTTAGAATATAAAATGTTTTAGTTTCGGCTTTGGGGGATTTCACATATACACACCTTTGAATGGAACGACATTTCATTTATTTAAATTTTTTAGTGCACTATGCAAACACTTTCGAATTTGGATCTTTAGTTTTAATTATTATATATATCAACACTGTGCAGTTTATTTTTGAATGGGCCTGTTTATGTCTGATCCTTTTTTTTACCTTTATCCCATGTCCACTGTTTTCATAGCGTAAATGAAATTGAAAATAAAGTATTATCGTCAAAATGCTTTTTTTATTTAGATGAAAGAAAAAAGTATTTTTTTAATTATTTTTAAAAAATTTTTTTGTTCGAAATTTTGGTTAAAATCGTCTTTGGTGCGACGTTTAAAATAACATAGTTTTTTTTTGCGTTTTTTTACCGTTGAAAACATATTGATTTGGAAATTCTTGTAAAAATAAAATAATTGTCCAATCTTAATGAAATTTTCAGGACTTATTCACAAATGAATGAAATTATTTTTGAAATATTTTTTTTAGAAAATTTTGTAAAAATTATATTTTTTAAAATATGTTTATTCAGCCCAAAACCTTTTTGGTTCCTGAATTTTTTTTTTTGTTTGTCTTCGAAGATGGTAAATAATCTACTTTTCTTTTCAAAATTTGAGCTATTTAACTGAAAATTCTGAATTGAAAAATAATGAATCCAATAAAATGATATTACTTAATTAGAAAAGCTTTTAATTGCTTTTTAAATTTGAATTGACAATCTGAAGAAATAATTTTTTCTGATGAATAATTAATTTTTAGAATTTTTCCTTTTTGAAATTTTAATTATAATAATTTATAATAGTTTTAAATCGTGTAAAGCTCTGTATTAGGAGGGTTCCTCGATATTATGTTTAATTAAGTAGAAAAAAAATTTACGAATCCAAAATTGCTAAGTTTAATAAATTTAGTTGCGCTACTTTTTTTTAAAAATAATTTTTTATGTTGTATTTTTTTACTTAATACATTCCTTATTTCCAGAATATAAAATTGCCATTATTATAGGTCACGTGATCTAAGGGTTTTGTCCCTTTCAAAACATTTCGTTTATTAACAGATTGTATTTTCCGATCAGCTGTAAAAGTGTAAACTTTAAATTTTAAATTATTTTTTCTTTTTTCATTTACTATTTCACTAAATAATTTTAATGTATTGAACGTGTGTCATTCAAATAGAATTTTTTTAAAAACTCAGACTTTTCATTTATGGTCATCAGTAGTAGCTGTCATCGGCTCGTCAATCAATCATTATCAGTAAGATCGAACAACTGAACGGGACCGCTCGTTTAATTTTGTATATTATTTTTTTTATATTAAGTAACAAAGATTTCTTTGAAATCAGATTACTTTCTTTAAATTTTTAAACTAAAATAACGTGTCAGAATTTTTAAATATTTTAAAAATCGATAAATTTGTGTTTGTTTTTTTTTAAAATTAAAATGGCCGTTTTTAAGAAAATTTAAAAATTTGAAATTAAATTTGACAATCAAACGTATATAGTTTCTATCTGAAATACACCAGAATTGTTTAATTTAGAAATCGTACATTTAATTATTAAACTTTCGATTAAAGCTAAAATGAAATCTTCAAGAATGTTTTTTTCGTTGTAAAAAATTCATTTTAAACTTCGATATGAAAATTTATGCCGAAATAAGTGGACATACTTAATCAAAACTCATTAAAATAGTGAAATATAATAATAATAATAATAATGGTGTTAATTATAATAAAGAAAACAACATAAATCATGAAATCATATGGGCTGCTGCTGTTGATGTTTTTGAGGCAGCCGTTTGTGCTGGTAGCTGATTGGTTGGTTGTAGTCAGCTGGTATAAATGTAACAGTTTTATTGGTTACTGTTAGTCGAGCTGCCAAATGTAAACATTGACGACTCCCTTTCCAGACGGGGAACCAGCCTCTCTTGACATTGTTGTTGACAGTCACCACTCTCCCAAATATCATTTTGTTTCTATTTGTACCGATGCCCTTGAGTCGTACTTGTTCTAACTTTGATCCAGGTTCCAGGTAAGATCTTCCTTAACATTTCTTACATTATCTCTTTCTACTCACTCAGTCCTCGGAAATATTTTTCGTAATTGACTTACTTTGTCTTCAGCAACCAGCCATTAATTAATTAAATACTTAACTTAATAATAGTATTCCCCCTTTTTTTTTGTATCTCCCTATTATATTTTAACAATTATCTAGACCCGATTCAGTAGATCATGATTTTTGTGTTTTTCTGGTAGATCGGTGAAAGAAAATTTCATCAATTTTTTTTTCCTTCGTTACTTTCTTCCTTTTTCAGTCTTTCCTACCTCTAGCTCACTTTGAAGAAAAGGTTAGGAAGCATTTGTTTCGTATTTCATTTTACTTTTGAAATTAAACTGAATTTTAGTTATTGTCACTTCGCCTCTTTAGGTTCATCTCGATTTATTTCTTCAAAGGTGCAAAATTTACGTTTAAGAATTTGAATTTGCTTTTAAAAAAGAAAAGAAAAAAAGTAGATCACTTCTTTTACTTTAAAACATTTTTTATTTCAATTTATTATGAACAAAATGTTTTTCTCGGCCCATTTTTGCAATAAAAAAAAGTTCGTTTAGGTGGTTTTAAAATTTGGGTTAAGCCGTTGCTTGAGAGAATTTAAAAAAATGACAACTTTAGTCAGTTGTCAACTTGTAGATTCCTCCTCCCTCCAATCCTCTTTCTTGTTCCCTACACCCCTGCTAAAATGGGTGGTGATTCAATTTTTTTTTTTTTTGTGGTAGTGGAGGGATGTTTCATATTGTGACGCCCCTTCCCCACTCTTACTCCGTCGCGCCTTCGACTAACGACTTTTGGCTCCATTTCATCATTCGTCCTCTGCCCCTTTGGTTTTGTCTCCTTCCCTTAATTGTGCCCCCTACCGTATCTCTTTAGTTACACTGTTTTGTGTAAAAACAGAAGCCGATTAGACCGCAAAATAGAAGTATTTTTTTTTTTAGTTTTTCTCATAATTAACCATAATTTTATTTATAAGAATAAAATTTCGTGTTTATTTACATTGGTTGGTCGATGTTGGTTTTTCGTTCTTTCTTCCGTGTTTTGCTTTCTCTTCCAATCGATTATTAAGGCTTCTGCTTTAGCTTTTGTTTACAATCGTACTTAAGCGCATGAAATAATATTAATGTTTGTTTATTGATCTAAAATACTTCTGCTGCTTGATTAGTGATTATAAGCAGAATTATTGAGGTGAGGGTGTCAAAAGTAACACTTATGTGTGTGTGTGTGTTTTTCTTTTTTTTTTTCTTTTTTTTTTTTTTTTTTTGGTGTGTGTGTGTCTTTTCTCTCTCACATTGACCTCGCCTCTCGTTTCTCCTTGATATTTAAATCCAAGTGGTTGGCATCCCGGATGATTTCCTTGTTTAGCTGCATTTCATTTGTTTAAAAAAACAAAACAAAGAAAAACAACAACAACAAAAAAAAAAAAAAAGGCTATTCACCGATTTTGTTTGTATTTTCCTCTATTCCTTAGCAACACGTACTATTTCTTTGACAATATAAATTCTTGTTTTCTGACTGTTTTGCTGCACTCTGGAGGAGGAGTGTCATGATTTGCATCGTTTCCTCTGACGACAATCACTTTTGTCACTTAATTTACTAAGCTTTTTTCTTTACTTTTTTTTTTTTTTTTTTTTTAATACAATGAAGCACTTAAATTGAGATGGATATTATTAAATCATAGAATTTCCCCCTTTTTTTTCTCTTTTCTCTGGAAGGATTATTTTCTTTCTTCTAAGTTTTTGTTTTATTGTTATAGTATTTTTTTCTCTATTTCAGGTTGTCTTGTTTCGTGAAGACATTTTGTGGCTCAAAATGAAATTTAACTTGGGTGTTGGCGATGAGCAGTTGCTACAGCTTTTGTCTGACCTCCTCAAAAAGGACAGACAGCAGTGGAAGGCCAAATTTTTCCGTAGGCATGGAGATACAGTAAGCTGATTCTAATTTTGTCGCTTGAATTTAGATTCTTCAATTTGCTCTATTGTCTCTTTGAATTGATTGCTATGATTTCCTTTTTGAAATTTTGAACATTTTCTGTTGAAAAATAAGAATGTTAATTTGTTTTCTAGAATGTTACAGGTTGCCAGCGGGATTGGGCTGCTTCCTGGTTGGTGAGCATCAATAGGAATTTCCAGTTTACACCAGAAACCTTATCATTGGCCCTGAGTCTCATGGATCGGTTTCTCAATTCTGTTAAGGTTAGGGTCTAATATTCACTCTCTTTCAATTTGTCATCAAATGTCTTTTGTAGCCAATAAAAAAACCCTACATTTTTCTAGGTACCTCCACGAAAATGTAATCAAAAAAGAGCATAGCATGATGAAAAAGACGCCGAACTTGACGAAAACAAAATTTTATCGTCTAATGTTCATATTAAAGAGGAAAGATCAAAGTATTTTTGGGGTATTTTTTTTACATTTTTTAATCGTTCCTAGCACGTCTGAAATTTTCGTTAAAAATATTGTTTTTCTTTGTCAAAAAAATGGACAGACAATCCATCATTTTCAACCATTTTTTTCCATTTTATAAAAGAAATGAAAATCTGACTTTGATATTGTTTTAAAAATCAATTATCATTTTTTCAAAACTTATTTTAATAGAATCAGAAATTATAATGTTTATTTAAAATATTTTGAACCAAGCTTAACTTAGCTTCTGCGCGGAATAAATGTAATTTGAAAATAAAACAAAGCAGGTCATAACCTTTCGCGTCGCTTGACGATTGACGAAAGGCACATTCATGACGTTTAGATAACTTACGGGAGGATAATTCTTTCTACGGATGGAAGAAAGTGAAATTATTTAGATTTGTGAACAAATTATTTACCTCGTTACTTTTAAGGAAAACTTTCAGCGCTCTAATTTTTTAATTTTTTTTTTTTGTACTTACCTTTCATCTTTACGTTTACGATGCTTTATGGAAAATATAAAGAAATTCAAAAATAAGACTGTTAAGAGTGAGATTAAATTTCATAAGAAAAAGGTATCTAATTAATTTATAGGTACCTTTCTTATGAAATATTATCAGAAGTGTACATAAAATACTATAATTTTATGTACATTTATTACATTTTACTGTGTTATTTGTATTTCCATTCATTTTATTATTAATTTTGATATTTCATTTATGGAAAAATGTCATAACTGAGGTTAATATAAAAATAAGATCATATAAATTAAAGTTAGCAGTAGTTAAATTTTATAAGATGATACTGATACTTGTAGGTACCCTTCTCAGTTGAATTTGAAAACTCAAATTAACTTCTCCATACGTGTTTCGCAAAAATAAAGGCCTTAACAACGGAGAACAATGCTGAACTCGAATAATGCAACTGAATTGTATTCTGGTTGGTCTTCCGTACTTGATAATTACTGCCCAATTATAAACACAAAAATTACATTTCTTAATTACTGTGGATCTTCTGATTGGTCCAAATTATACAATTTTCAAAGCGCTAGACAATCTCATAAGGACAATTAGAAAAGTTGACGTTGCTTTTAACTAATTTTATATTTTTAAAAATTCAATGTAAAAATTTTTTAAAAATCTATTTAAAATTAAAGAAATAAATAATTGTATTAAAAATTCAATTGTCATTGAAAAAATTTTTTTGCTTTCAGAAAATATTGTCCATATTCATAAAAACAACTAAAAACAAATAAAAGCATTTGAAATTAAATAATATATTTGTTTTATTGAGTTTTGTATGTTACAATTCAGAGCTGATTTTCAGGTACGTTGGCTCCAATTAAAAAAAAAAAAAAATGAAGCATGATTTGCATTCTTCAAAGCCTTGTGCTTTTAACTATTGTAATCACTAAACCCGATGCACTCAAATTTCTAGAGATTTTCATAAAATTAGTTATGGGGGTGTTAATGAATATAAAAAAATATTTCTGCCATGACTTTAATAATAAAAAAAAAAAACATATTTATAATAATTTCGATATTCTGTGAATAGTTTCTGAAAGTTTCATTAACATCCGACAATTATTTTTATTTTTGCAAGTTTTTCCAACTTAATGTGTGCAATACAAAAAAAAAACGCGCTAAAAATTATCTATGTTATTTACTACCCCTTGTTGCACCAAAGAGAAACAAGGTTTTTTAAATCAAAATTTAGAATATTCTAAAAAGATGGGAAAATTTTAAAAAATAATTAAAAAAAAATTTGGTCCATCCTCTTCATAAAAACAAGCATTTTGACGATAAAATTTTTTTTTCATAAACTTTGGCGTCTTTTTCATCAGACTATGCTCTATTTTTTTAGCGATTTTCGTGGAGTTAACCTAATTTTTACTATAGGGAATAATTATGATGCTTAGAAAATTTTATGTTTCTCTTGAAAGTAAAGAATGTTACTGCCTCTTTTTGTTGTAGGTGCCACCTAAGTATCTCCATTGTGTGGGGATATCTTGCTTCTTCCTGGCAGCAAAGACAATGGAAGAAGATGAGGTAAATACTTCTCAAATTGTTTGTTATTTTGGTCTGGATTTAAATATTTTGCAATTTTGGTTCTGAGGTTGTTTCATGCTTAAAATTTTTACTACAGGTTGTTCCCAACACCCAGATTTTGGCAGCAGAAAGTCAGTGTGGCTGTAGCGTGTCCGAGATTCTACGCATGGAGAGAGAAATTCTCAGCAAACTTGATTGGAACCTGCGTCACGTTCACCATATTGATTTTCTCCATGCTGTGAGTTTTCTTCTGCACACTTCATCTAAAATCTTTAAGCTACTGAAACTTATTTTGTTTGGATAATCCATTTTGTGTGTGTGTTTAAGATGAGGAACAGAACATAATTCTTCTGTTGCTAATTTTAGTTTCCCCTTTTTGTTTCAGTTGCATGCATTGTTGCTGTCTATGTATCCACAATACTTATGTCTTGGAAACATGACACCTTCTCGACAACTGTCTACCTTAACGTCCAAGCTTTTTCGCTTATTGTGCAGCCATAAGTTCATGGTTTTTCGGCCATGTGTTCTCGTCCTGTCGTTGCTCAGTCTTGAGCTGGAGACTTATGTTCCACAATCATGGCTTCAACTCACGATGATATTACAAAGACTCACTGAAGTAAGTTTTAGTTCTCTTATTTTAATGATTGAAAGATGCTTGAAATTTGTCTGGTTTTTCTGACTTTTATTCTTTCTTTCTACTTTCAGATTCCTACAGAACAGTTGGTCCATTGTAGGGAAGAATGCAGCCGTCAACTGAGTGCAAAATTTCACTTGCCCAAGCCACCTGTGCTTTATGCACGCAGGAAGCGAGTTTGTATGAAACGTCGGGTTGAGCAAATTGAAGTGGATGAGATATATGACTGCATCAAACATTTGTACAACGAAGATGACTTAGCCAAAAGTAAATCATCAGACAAAGTCCTTCCGCTATCTTGCAGCACAGAACTGCGGCAGTGTGTTGATGATGTGCCAGTCCAAACTATTGCTGCCACCTAAGAACACCAAACCACTAATTGCAGGATTTTATTTTTATTTTTGGTCTTGTAATCGTCCTTCATGTTGCTTCTCTGCTCTACTTTGAGTGAATAAGCAGCTAAACCATTTGTTATATGTGGGTTGATTCTGTTATTTTTAGCTTGATCCTGCTGATGTTAGAGGCATCTTTCTTTCTTCATTTTTGTTTTTATTTTTTTCTCAATCCAATAATAGAGCAGAAACAGTAAGAAAAATATCTTTAAAAAGAATTTAAAAAAAAAAATGACAAAATCTTTTCAAAAATCCAACTAAAAAGTATAAAAATATTCTAAACCCCAAAAACATAAAAAAAGAACTCTCTTGGAAAAAAAACCAAAAAAAAAAAGTTTTAGTTATAACTTTTTGCTGGGTTAATAATGCCTGAGAGCAAGTTTTTGTACTTTATTTGTAAATTCCTTAACTTTATCTGAGGGGTTTTAATTTTATTTTGGAAAGTTATTTATAAAAGAAGACTTTCGAACTCTATAGAATCTTCTAAATTCTGCAAATCTCTTCCTTCCTGGAAGTATTTTGACTATAGGTCAGAATTTGTGCATCTGTTAGGGCTGTTGTTCATGTGGTTGCTTTAATGTGAACCACTATCACACTTTCTGAACTCTCCCAGATAGCAGCAGCCACCTCTTCTCTTGCTTGCGCTGGAGAAATGCTCTTTGGTCTTGGTTGCTTGCTCATCCATGTGTTTGTAAATTCTTCTCTTCTAATTAGGGCCTCTATAATATTGTCTTTAGAAAAGCAACCATTAGAAGAGGTTGTTTGTCTCAGCTATGACAACCTCTTGAATCTCACTGTGTGCAGGTTTGAGATCATTTCAATCAAATAATTTTGCACACAAGTGCACCAAATGATCTGAACTCTTAATCATAATTCAAGCAATGCACTTGAATTATCTATTTAAAAGCAAACATTTCAGAGCACCCGGTGCCAGGCTTGTCCATGTTATGTTCTGGTGCACTCCTTTTGCCTTCATCAGTCTTTCACTGGCAACAGTGCACACTGCATATTGTTTTGTCTGACTGATCGAAGGACTTCATATCACCCCCTCCATTTTTATTTCTTGCCTCCAGACCATTTTGTCAGATTGGGTGGCACTTGGAAACAAAAATTCATCAAAATTTGTTAATCTTCAAATCCTTTTTTTGAGGATACAATCTGTTTACATTCCTCTATATTTATATGTACACATACACACACACACACTCTATTTTTTAGATATGAACTACTATAAATGGGAGTCATAAGTAATGTTTTCACCAGAGGTAAAAAATCTGGCTGAACTGTTAAATTAGTCCATAGTGGACTGTTCTAAATTGTATATAGTGTACAGAAGTTTTGAATGTTGCAAGTGTATAACATCTTGATGCCAGTGCTCAAAGAGAGCCGTATGGCAGCAAGCACTGACTATGTGCGGTGTATATGGATGATCTGATGAGCAACACCATGCAAACTGGTTGTTGTCTGTGGCTGGTGTCTGTCTCTTGTCTTCTATTTATTCCCTGAACAAAAAATTGGATATGCAAATACTCTTTAGATTTGTTAATTTGAAAGGGGGTGGGGCATTACTGTTCTAACAACAATGGCAGCATTTTAGTGGGTGGGTGGGGAGACTTTGCTGAGCAGCACCAGCTTAAACCGACTCATATTTTTCTCTTCCTCTCTCTTATTGCTGTTAATGTTTAGGGCAGAACTGGGTTATTAAAATAAAACAGCCTAGTGTGCACTTGCTAGCATGTCTCTAAAGTTCTTCCACAAGAAAGGAATTTGTCATTGGCCACATTGCCTAACCATTCAGTATTCCTTGGTGAGTGTGTCTTCCTGTCTGTCCATTTTATTTTTTTAATTCTGAGAAAGTGCCTGGGACGATGCCCAATCGTCATCATCTTCCCTCTTTACCAAATTCCTCCAGTATTAGCTTTCCCCCTTTCTTTGTTATTTGTTTCTTCTTTTTCCTTCTCTCTGTAATTGTCTTATTTATTGTCTTGTCTTCAGCACCAATGCCTTAGTATTGAAATGAACGCAAGCAACTTCACAAAACCTTTTTTTTACAAAAGGACTATTTCTTCATTGCAGAAAAAAAAATGTTGAAATTCCAACTGAATTTTTTTTCTGTCTGAAAGTCTAAACAAAAAAAAATCCCAAAACCACTACCCCCTCAAGTGTATGCTGCATGAATGTGTGAGTGTAAGGCAGTTGAAAACTATGCTGAAGTAATTAAATGATTAAATAAAAACAATTTTTATTTCTACCTTGCTTTTATGTTTTTTTGGGGGTTTTTCTCATTAATTGAAAAAAAAATTGCATGAAACTGTTAGAAGCAAGTAGCATTAAAACTGAATAGCTATATAATTCAAAACTTATTTTTAGTTGAGAATGTTACATTATTCAACCTAATAAAAGTGGATTTTCTCAAGTATTGAAAGTTTTAAGTGGACAGATATATATTTGTGCATGAACATTGAAAATTTCTGGCCAAGTGAAGAGCAAATTGTGTTTTATATATATATATATATATATATATATATATATATATATATATATATATATATATATATATATATAAATTAAATTCAATTTACTAAAACTAATTGAAATATGTCAACACATTGTTTTACATTGGAAATTCAGAAACAGTATTTTGTGTATTAACACTGTGTAAGGAGGAGATAACTCCTTTTCTATGTATGACCAAAATTCATGCTTCACTGTTGTCTGAAATTTTTTTTTTTTTTCTCATCATCATGTTAAGATAGACTTGGACCATAAAATCCTTTTATTCAAATTAAGTATATTGTCATTTTCTTCAGTAAAACCTCCAACTACTCACTTGTCATTGTCAACCTGTTTGACAAGTACTGGTATTGCAACCAGTAAACATGAACAAATTTTCTGAATTTCAAGTTACGTTTGTTATAGGAAGATTACTGTTCAAAATCTATTGGCCAATATAGCTTTCATTTATGTCACTTAGCCATTCTCCAACTGACTGCTAGAAATTCAACTTAGAAATAAATATATTTTAAATACATCTGCAGAATTTCAATTAGAATTCTAGAAACAATCACAAAACAAGTTGCATGACTTAAGTGTGGGCACTTGCTTCACAGAAATTAAGTATTTAAACATTTATGTCTTATGTGCTGGGTCAGTCATTGATTTTTTTTTATTTTTTTTTTGATAATGTATATGTCCTGAGATAAACATTTGTTGAGGTGAGTAAGATAAAAAAAATTGATCGTCAACACCTAGATGAGGGGAAATAGACTCTCACCCACTTGTACATTGCTTCATGACAGCTAAGTTTAGTAAATATAAAATGTTTACCTTGTTTCAAGCCCTAAGAAAATAACTTAAAATAGGCTGGTTTTCAGTCTTAGCTATGCATTATAAAAAAAAAAAAAAAAATTAAACAGCTACCTATTAATTTGTATTTCCTTGCTTCATTTTAATAACTGGCTATTCAATGTAGCATTGTGTTACAATATCTTTCTAGAACTGGGATACTTGTTGGGTATTGAATTAGTTTTGTCGAAATATCTTTAATGCACAATGAGGTTTAAAGTGGATTACTTGGAACTAATCATTGTTCTGGAACCAGTTTCATGTTAACTTTTGGAAGAAATTGCTGTTTCACTAACAATCTTCAGTAGCATAGAATAGGGGAACATTGGTTTGCATCAAGATCTGTATTTTTATCTAGATGGAATCCAATTAATGATCTTTGCAAACTCTACACTGTTTCAGAGACACCATCAGCTTGCACATAGGCTGGATCCATAGCCTCAAATATCTTTTTACATAAAATCAATTATCTGCTAGAAAATGGAATTGTAACGTCTAAAATGTGTTACTTTGATCCTGTAATGTGAGCTTAATGTTACCTTCATTAGTTGATGATTATAAAATCCTATGTACAGTGTGTTTGGTTTGTTGAAAAAAAAAATCAATCTAGCTTCCAATTGATTTTGTCAAGATGGCAAGTCCTAGTGGCATTGAGAGAGGAAAAAAGTACTTTTATAGAAGCAGTCTCATAATGAATGTGACGACATGCGCTGACGTCGAGTCCAGATTTAAGGGAGTTGATAGAATTGAAAACGAAAAATGAGATTAAAATAGAAAATTTTTAACCGTAAAGAATAAACTTCTTAAAGTTAGTGTCTCGTGAAAACTGGATCTCACTTATTTTCATGCTTACTGCCGAATCGATACTAAATGTGGATATGTGTGTGAGCATAACGTCAGTAGATTGCTTTTTTTTTTGTGGGGGCGTTATTAAAAAATATATATATTTGTATTTACTTCCTGTACGTAGATGTAAGTTTGATCAATTCGCAATGTGAATCATTCAAAATTAATGCAATTCAGTAATTTAATTACCTATCTTATTTGTTGCCTTTTTAAAGTTTTTGAAATTTATGAATACAACGGCGAGTTTTAGGAGTTGAAAAATATGAAGATACATTAACAATCAATTCAAAGCTTATGCAAGTCGGGGCAACTTGTTCTTTCAAAAATAGTTACAGTGGGGTCAGGAGAAAAAAAAAGCAAATGAGGAAATAAAGGGAAAAAACACACTTGAAAGTGATGACCTGATCCAATTTTCATGAATGTTTTAAGGAGCGGAGTGCTTCTTTTTCTTTTAGACGAAAACAAGAAAATGATTATATAAAAACAGCAATCTTAAAGGAGTTGCAGCAGCAGCAGTAGTTGACGTTTAAAACTTAAAAAAAAAAGGCTCTGATAGCATTTTTTTTTTTTTTTTATTCTATACTCAAGCTTTAGTGACATTGACAAAAATTAAAAAAAAAAAGTTTCAATTTTATGAGCCACACTTAAAAAAAGGGTAGATAGACTATTAAAAATAGACACTAGTTTTATATCGTTGAAAAGTTAAAAAAAGAAGAAACTATTTTATTATTAACAAAGTAAGACTAAAGAAAGCCTTTCGAAACAATTTTAAATGTTTCTTTTTTTTTTTACTGTTGTACATTTTCCTATTGTCTGGAAATAAATAGAAAATGCCAACAAGTTTTTTAAAATACCACTCAATATGAATCAAGGAAAAAAATTTCTTAAAAATAAAAAAGGTCATGGTGTGTGTGTCTGTATGGTAATATTTGGCGTTTTCTTAATAAACTTAACGTAACGATAAATTCTCGTTTGTCAGTTTTAAAATAAACAAAACAGATAATCCGAGTCTGAAATAAAATTGTCCTAAAATAAGTTAATGATAAGTTTAACGCTTTGCATCGCTTCTTTTTCTTTTTCTTTTTTTTATTTTTATTTCTCGAGTCTCTTGCTCTAACCGTCAACAAATAGTGTTTTTCAAAAGAGAAAATGGGACGTTATTTTCTCGCTAGACAAAGAAAAAAAAGTGTTTTGAAAGGAATTATTTTTTATGATTTAGTTCGGGTTCGTTAGAGATTTTATTTTTTCCAAAAGCTTCACTTTCTGTGAATTTCTCGCTCTTACCAAAAAAAAAAAAAAAAAATATCTAAAGAAAGAATTTTCTAAAAGTAAAACATTTTTTTCTTGTCATAATTAAATTAAACAATTTATTAACAGGGTGCGTCATGCTCTCGGCCTTGTGCCATATCTTCTCCACGCTTAGTAAACCAGTTATTAATAAAAAAAAAAATCTACTTTCTCTCATATTTCCAGTTTTACATTGATTTTTATCTCGTTTATAACTTAATTTATTTGGAACTTTTAAATGACATTATTTATTTAATAATGGAGCTGAAAATAGCCTCCATTCGGAGAGGGACACCCATAGAATGAGAAATTATACATAATACAAACTTGTCTTTTTAGTACAATTTTTACGATATATCAATGTAAATTTTTTTGTAGTATTTAAATTTAAAAGTAACTGGTATATTTTAGGTCGGGTTTTCGTTTTATTATTTTCAGTCAATAAACGAAAAACTATTGAAAACTTAAAAGTGTATATGTCATATCCGTTAACTAAATATGACGGCCAAATTTATTATTCCTACCTTTGTTATTATTAATAATATTCATTTTATACACAACCTCATATCGACATTTTCAGTTGGGCTGATATCGACATTTTAAAAGTGGAATGCAGAAGAGGAAGAATGAAAAAGTCGGGGCTGGAGTAGGGGGGTTTGGCCGTATTCTGCAGTTTGATTGGCTGATAACTGGGGCTCCCAGCGCCTCCATCTTTGCCATATAAGGAAGTGTTCGTCACCTGATGCTGATACTGTCGTTTTTTTTCTCTTCTTAAGGAAAAGAGATTTCGAAACTTCATTTCTATTAAAAAAAAAATACTAGGCTGGTAATTGTAATAGTCGAAGTTTGTAATTATTTACCTACTGTAACGGAAATTGTCTCTAGCTTGTCTCTTTTTTTTAGTTTTTTTAAATTATCGATTTGCAGTTTCTGAATTAAAGAAAAAAAACACTGTCCAAATTTGAGTAAAACCTCTGGTAATAATAAAGACGAGAGATAAGTTTCTGTGCATGAAAGAATCACTCGCAATTTTGCACTTAAAAAAATATTAAAAACGGAAATGTTCATAAAACATTGTGTTACTTTTAAATTCTAGATAAGTTGATCTCATTCTTCACTTTACTAAGTAATTTCGCGTGTATAAAAAATTCGCGACTGTATTAATAACTCTTTATTTTGTGAAAACATTTAGCTTTTGTTTGATTTTCAATTTATTTATTTATTCGCAGTGGAGTCAGATAATCCTAGACCCCCCTTCCGGAAAAACACAATCACAATTCGATTTCGATCCGCAAGCAAGGAATCTTTAATCTTTATCCTATTATTTGGGCTAGAGTCGGAAAAGGCTCATCGCATAAGCTAAGCATCTCTTAGAAGAGAGAGAAGAAACCACAATGCAAATATTAGTAATAAGTTGTCAATTGTATGCATACAATTGGGAATGCGTGAATTTCTTTTTTTTTTTTTTTTTTTTTTTATCTAATCTTTGATTCGCGATACTTTCACTACGCCTGTGTGAGTCCGGGTAAAAAAAAAAAAAACTGCAACTACCAGGATCTATAATCACGAGACATAGTTACTTTCACTTCCGTCTCCCATTTGCAGCTTCAAAGATTCAGTGATGGATTTGGAAAAAACGAAGACAAAAAAGTTTTGAATATTGAGAAGAATTTACAAAGGAAAGTATTCTCGTGAACTGACTGAGAATAAAACATATCAAATGTATCTTTAAACAAAAATGCATCTTTAAAATTAAATAAAAAATTGTCCTTTTTAGAAAGATACTGAGAGATTTTTACTTCACTGGATATGATTGTATTTACGACTTTATCGTGCATTTTATCAGAATCAGATGTTCTCTTTTTAAATTCACCATGGAAACACTGTTTAACTTAAGCTGACCAGGAGGCGATCGCTCCTGGTTGAGTAACCTGGTAGGAGGTGGGTCTGATTCTTTTATAGGTCCAAAATCCCTAATGGCAGCAAGAATAAGCATCACTGACAAAGCTTCCCAGCGCGCCTCAATGGTGTTTCAGATACACGTTTTTAACTTTTGTCAGTTTATTTAAGTTTTTCGAGGACCCAAGAGACTAAGCATTTCAGTGGTGTAAAATGTTTTTAAGCATTTTATTGTCTCATTTGGACATTATTATATTTATTAAATTTAAACTTATTGGCTTTTCTCTTTTATTGACAATTCTTGATTCAAGTTGAATGTATTTTTGTCATTCTAGTTTGGGACTACATCGGTTCGTCCCTCAAAATACTCCTTCCAGATCAACCCTCGTTAAACATATCAAACAAAAAATGTTTTTTAATGTTTGCTGATAATGTATATATGATTTGTAATGCTAAGGGCATTACGTTGAAATACCAGTTCTCGTACGATCACCGAAGGTAAGCAACGTCGAGCCTGGTCAGTACCGACATGGGTGACTGCTGGGAAATAAATACCAGGTGTTGTAAGCTTGAATGTGCGGGTGGTGTAATGGATAATAGCTTGGAATTGTTAATTGGAAAGCCGAGTTCCAATTCCTGCTGGGTTCGTTATATTCACTTACGCAAAATGCCTCTAGGAAAGGTATGAACCTATCTCTTCTCTCGCTGTCTATGGGTTAATTAATAAGACTTGTGTCACTAAATCATTATTCACCCCTATACTCACATTCGTATAATCTGAAAAGATTCTGGCTTTAAATAACCTGCATGGGTTATAAACCGTAGAAAACGAATTAATAAAACAATATGTTTGTGCGGCTCCAGGATTTTGTCGGAGTATTTTTGAGTGCTTTATTATTTAACTCCTCACTAGCTTAACTTAGTAACAAATGCTACATATCCCACATTTTTTATGGTCTCACATTACACACTTTCAAACCGTCTAATGAAATCGATCTGACAATGTTAATGTTTACATGTCGAGGGAACTGCATCTTTAATTATCCATCATTTCAGATAACATTATATCGAGACCGTTAAATCTACTCAAATATCTCGTTAGAATCATTTGTTTCGTTTATTTATATTGATAATAGTTGGATAGTAGCGTGGGGCTTAGGGGTTAAAATGAAAAGTTGATTTACCCACAAAAGGAGATTAATGAAGGATGATAATGACGAGGAAATACACAGGTCATTTTAAAACAAGGAATTTACTTACGAATTTACACACTTGAAGTTGTATCAGCAGCTCGTTTCAGAAAAATAAATCAGAATTCTTAAATCCGTAGTTAAAACGTCATGAAGAGGAAATGTTCATACAACAAATTCAATGATCTGTCACAAAATATTAAAAAATGTTTAAGACAAAGGTGAAAGTTCGTTGCTCGTCGAAGGGATATATGGTTTCCAAGGTAGACGGAGAGAGATTGTTTGAATACTTAGATTTCTTGGATTATTGAAAGGAAATTCTTTGAAGTGCCGTGTGCTTGGTTAGAGGCTGATAATATAATTTGCGAATAATTTTACACTGGCGAGAACTTCAACGCTGGTCGCAATGAACAGAAACGAAAACTTTCACATGAGTTCAGACACTCTTCTCTTATTAATTAAATTTTTCTCCTCTTTTCATATCAAAAGGAATTTCGCGTAGGCTTGCGAATTTAATTCTTCTTCTTGGCTGACCGGCTAATTTCTGTTCAGGCAAGGTTTTCATTGATCCAAAAACAACTTCACATAGGCTCTCGAATTTCTTTTTTTTTTTTTTTAGTGTATCGGATAATTTTTGTGAAGGCAAGGCTTTCTTTGGTCCAAAGAAAATTTTACATAGGCTCGAGAATTCCTTTCTTTCTTCTTCCTCAGTCCTCTGAATTTGAAGGGAGTGGGTAAAGGGAGTTATTATTATTATTGCGCGTGCGCGCGTATAGGAAAATTAATGACAAAGTTGATTTTGTGTGTGTGTTTGACGCGTTTCGTCCCTTAGGACTTCATTGCACTAAAGTGTTGTTTCTCTTGATGTAACTACACGTGCGCACGAAAGGAAAGGGAGCTGAAATTTTAAACTTTTAAATTAAGTTATTTTATATATGTTCACCCCACCCATATACTCACACACACACACACACACACACACATTTCCCTTAGACTGAATCAATATTGTTTTGAATGCTTAGTAATATATGTTTTACTTTTGTAAATAAATTATTTTTATTGTTAAAACTCTACCGTTGATAGTATTCTTTTATTCTATTTTTTTTTTCACCTTCTCTCTCTCTTCTTTTCTTTTTGTTGCAACTATGACAAAATGGAAGCTCGTCCTAAATTTTGATGTTCATTTCAAAAGAAAAACAACTAAAACAAATACTTTTCTCATTTGGTGTTCATTTCACAACAACAACAACAACAAAGAAAGTAATTCATATTCCTCTTTAGATATTTTTTGATAAAGCTAACTTTGTATTTGTGTTTGTTGAAACTATTGAAGAATTTCTTTCTTCATCCAATTTGGATGAAGAATTTCACTTATTAAAAAAAATTAGAGACATTGCAACTAACTACATATCTTGATTTATTAATGCAAATATGAAAAAAGCAGAAGTAACATTAGACCTATTGTGTAGTACTATTAAGACTAAGAGAGTGACATGATTATTGGATTTACATTGTATATGAACCCAGGTATAGGGCTATGCAAAGATTATTGGTGATTGAACCTGAAATTCAATCACAGCATTGTACACTTGTACGGTAGGCATGTAGCGGCTATTTTCTGGGCTACCAGGAACCTCTTCTCGCTACTGACAAACGGAGAAAAATAGCGTGGTTTGGACACGTTACATGGCACAACAACCTGTGCAAGACCATCGTGCAAGGCGCTGTTGAAAGTGGGCGTAGGAGAGGGCGCCAACGTAAAAACTGGTTGGACAATGTCAACAAAATGGATAGGTGTCACTAACAGAATTGCTGATGGCTGCGGTTGATAGACTGTTCTGGAAGAGATTTAGTGTGGGTTTTGCATTCGGATCTTCCTTACGACTACAAAAGTCAAGGGGTTGATGATGATGTAACTGTATTGAAGGGAATTTATTCTATTTCCCAAACACAGTCAGCACGTCGTGGCCGTGTTCATAGTTTATATAATTGGTTTTGGCTTTTTCTTTTTTAGTAATAATGCTTCCATTATTTTATACACATGGATGTGGCTGTTATAGTTGTATTTTCAACAATTATGTTGCGGATTGAGTTATGTTGATTTTTGTGTGTTTTCAATGGATCCGAATTGAGCTATAGTCTGAGAGATATAGCGTGAATCTTCATGATAGGCATATTGTGATATGTTTAGTATAATTATTCATTAATTTGGTTTGATCAGGAACTCAGTTCCTTAAGGGGCACGTAAATTCATAAATAATATTGGTCCTCTTTAATTTGGTCCTTACAGGTCAGTTGTTGCTGATGATGAACTTAGATATTCTAATTTTTTTATAATAGATCATTAACTTAATTTTCTTGTTCTGGTCGACTGGGGTTGTGTATACATCCTACTTATAATTAAAGTGTATTTGATTTATATATATATTATATAGGATTGATTTGGAACCATCAATAGGTAACCACAATGATGCGTTTCTAGCATCATGGTACCGTAAATTAGAAGATTTCTCCAGGGAACTCATGCAGGATACCATGCAGTTCTGCCAAGAAAGCATAACGGCAGCAACAGCAGAAATTAACCTGCTCGATGAGAAAATAAAAAAAACAAACGGACACGGAAGAATATACCAACATAAAGAATGTCATAAAAGCTCACACAGTCCAAACAGTGAGGGAACTACAAAAAACAAAAACTGAAAAACAAAGAAAATTAAAATGGAATATTTCCTCCAGACAGAGGAACAAAAGAGAAATCAAGCCAAACTCTGAAAAAAGTGAACGACCATACCCCAAAAGAAAACAACAAAACACCGCAACTACACTGACCACCACACAACCAATGCAAACACAAAACAGACCAAATAAATACACCAACAGACAACCACCAGCACCACAACCAACAATAACAACACCGCCACCATCAACGATAGCTAGAACCTCAAAACAAACACACACACAAAACAAACCACTAACTTACGCGGACATCCTTAGGGTGCTCTACAAACATACACAAAACAAAACACAGCAGCCCTTCTACAGAACGCATAACCCCATTAGACATCCCAGACCACCTAGATTAGCCCCTAGTAGACAATCAACAGCAAATACACTCAACCTTAAAAAAAAAAAAACGGAATAAGCCCCCAACCAGGACACCTGGATGGAGGTATAGCATCCCTAATAGGAGATATGATGCAAGCTTTCAAGTTTTTACAAAAGAACTTCGCCATGCTTGCAAATTCAAACTTGATCTATACGGGCGAGTTATAAATTTAAGTAACAATATATTTTCACTCAATACATTCAGGGTATTAAATAAAGGACTAAGCTTTTGCCCTAGTCCCCCAAGGTTTGATAAAGACACCTTGGCAAAGGACCTGAAATCCTTCTTCAGAAGAATACGGTTAAAAGCCCACTACGGGGAAAATGATCACACTCCTTCCATACTTGATACATTAAAAGAGAAGGACACTACCTACACCCCACAAAACACAGACATTACTATACAGACATTTGAACTAGCCGTAGCAAATGACATGAAGAAAACAATAGCACGTAAGCTGCCACGTGACAATATTACTGAAGGGGAACGTATATCCCTCGACACGCTGACACTTAGAGATGACCTAATCATAACACAGGCTGACAAAGGGGGTGCGACAGTGATCTGGGGAATCGAAGAATACATTAAAGAGGCCAACAAACAGCTAGCCCACAAAGAAACTTATAAAAGCTTACCTACAGATCCTCTTCCCGAATACCAAAAAGAATTAACTAGCTCACTAAACATAATGCTTCGCAACAATCTAATCGACAAGGAAACATGCACAGCACTTACACCCACAAACATTACACCTGCTCGTTTCTATCTCCTTCCTAAAATGCACAAAAGCAACAACCCAGGAAGGCCGGTTATTTCATCGTTCAACTGCCACACGACAAAAATTTCCAAATACATAGACCATTACATACAACCGCTAGCTAAGGAAGTAAAATCCTACATCAGAGACACAACAGATCTACTGAACAAAATTAATCACATACAAACAGTTCCAGAGAATGCTATTCTAGTGACTATGGACGTTAGGTCACTCTATTCAAACATTAAACACATCGAAGGGCTAACCGCCCTTCAGGAAGCACTTACTAAAAGAAGAAAACAAGACTCCCCCCAGAAGTTATCATAAAACTCATGGAGCATGTCCTTACATTGAATACTTTCAACTTCAATGGAGTACACTATCTTCAAATAAGAGGTTGTGCCATGGGCACCATTGCAGCTCTATCATATGCTACAATATTCATGGGAAAATTTGAGGAGACCCATATCTATCCAATCATTGGTAGCGACTGCGTATTCTATGCAAGATATATC